AGAAGATGAAGAAGATGTTGTTTCTTGTCTCGGAGAAAAGATCTCAGAAAATCAATCTAACCGTTCAACCCTTTATCGCAAACCCGGCTTGCCAGCCCACCCCAGAACGGAGGAAAACAAAGTTCTGATGGTGGCCGTTGCAAGAAGGCGGTTCCTTGGCAGGCAATATTTTAGGAAGATGGGTGTTGAGCTCTGGCCGTCTGGGGACATGGCTTCAGGCAGGATGACGTCGCTTGGCAACTGCTGAAGCCTTGGAAATAACGGGCAGAAGACCAGAATCGGTCGCCAAACTCGCCTACTGACCGGGGTTAGGCGGGCCAGCTGGATCGAATCTCAGCGAGACATCCCAGCTAATCGCCGGTGGTTGATGCACCCCAAACTCGCCTAGCACTCCCCTAGAGCCCAATCACATTTAGCGAATCCTCGCGGGTGCTCGTAAACGATCTCCATACTGCACACAAACCCGCATCATCCGCAGTGTGCACCGCGACGCGTGACTGCGACGACGTGACTAAGCTTCCACTTTCAGACTTTTGCTAGTGGGTGAGGACAGCGAATTACCACTTTCAACGTCTAGTCAGTGGCTGTACACTCAAACGCTCGTTCAAGAAGATCTATACACTAGCTTGGTGCATGGCGGATGAGTGAGGTTCAACACTGAATCGCTTCTTCTGCTTGCGACGGAGCGTAATATGCAAAGATGGATATGGCGTAGAACTGCTGCTTTCTCCCGCCAATTCAGCCAACGGCAATTGAGCAGCGTCTCGACCAAACCCAGCAATGTCGAGCGGGTCAGTGTCAAATGTGGTTCGACCGGTAGTGTCTCTATTGAGTAGGTGGAAACTATTCATACATGGAACTGGGATGTCTGTATTGATGATTCAAATCACAGCTTGCACAACATTGGCAAAGTGTCATCGTCGGACCCATTGCTGATATACTTGCCGCCGTATTGGGACGCATCAACAGAGGTTGCACCACAAGTGCCGTCCTTTTTGCGTAGACATCCCACGGCTGTTATCAATTATCGGTGGTATGGTTTCCATCCCTTTGAGGAGGTTGAACCAGCAAGGGTGGAAGTGCCCAAGTCCGAGGATTCCGAGGCGCCGACGCCGACGCCGACACTCCATAGTTGGCCGTTCCCTGTTCACGATACCCTGAACGCGTACAGCTGGATCGTCGACCACCTGGCCCCGTCGGACTCGACGCGTCGCGATGTCTACGTCTTCGGCTCCTACCTGGGCGCCTCTCTGGCGACGTCCCTGGCCCTGACCGAGAGCCACCCGCACCAGCGCATGGCCGTGCGCGGCTGCGTCGCCTTCAACGGCATCTACAACTGGACCATGTTTCTCCCCGATCACCAAATCAACAAGAAGTCCGGCGCCAGGGCAGCAAACGTCCTCGAGGAGATCCTGGGGCAGCCGACGGACCCTTCATTCCAGGACATGAAGCAGCACATGTCCCATCTGTTTGGCGAACCGAGCCACCTCTTTGACCCCTTTGCCAGCGCGTGTCTCTTCTTCCAGACGGCCGGACTGCTGGTGCCGCAGGACTTTGACGCCTCGGCCGACCCCGTCGCCACGATGCTGGGGTCGTACGGGGCGCTCGCGGCGTCGGACGAGGCGCACGAGGCCATCAAGTCCCTGCTCACCGTCATGGCCGACAAGCCCCCGCGCAAGAGCGCCCTGGCCTTCCCGCCGCGCAAGTCGACGCTCAAGCTGCCCGACACGCTGCTGCTGCACACGGCCCCGCCGCCGCTGCCCGCCACGTTCCAGAGGCGCCGGCGGAAGGCTGTTCCTACGAATCACTTCAAGACGCAGGCAGAGGAGCTGGCGTCGCTGATGCGTAAGAGCCTCGAAAAGATTGAGCTCAAGGACCGGTCCAAGTGGGACCATGATCTTGACGAGTACTTCGAGGTGGACAGGAGAGTGCAAATGTATGACGTTGGAAAGGATGAGCGCCCATTTGAGATACCCCATTATGGAGAGGACGTTGCGGCCCGCTGGCTTGAGGATAGAATGGCTAGATAATTCAAAGAGAAGTACTGCCACGGCAGGAAGAGAATCGAAGTTGCTGTAACACCCAGATGTACAAGAGAATCGCAAGCATGGCAATGGTTGCCATATACAAGTAACGAGGTTAGAAGTGCAAATCAGATCTCATATCATGAACCCACAATCTAATGAGTTACTGATTCGAGCGAACATTGTGTTTCTCCCCAGGATGGTGAAGTGTTGAGGACGAATATTGCTTCTATCATGTTGCTGTAACTTTATTGTGATATCTTTACTGTGTTTTCTTAGACAAGGCATCCGACTTTCCCAATAGTCCAAGAGAAAGTTCAGCGAGGTATAATTTGTCCCAGATTCACCACTTCACCAAGTAGATGGAAGACCATTCTCTACATTTCTGTGTCGACTTCCTGTAGCCAACCCGATTCCATTTCTTGAACGCCAGAAGATGCACGATTAGACGAAGCCCTTGAGCACTGCTGCCTCAGCATTGAGGATGGAAGAACCAGCGGCACCAATGACGGCTAAGCGAATGTTAGTTGGGATTTCTTTCGTGGCCATCATTCAGTGGAAGAAACTTACTGTTGTGGCTCAATGCTACAAACTTGATATCAAAGATACCACTCTCGTCCTCGCGGACTCTGCCAACACTGACAGTGTAGCCGCGGCCAAGGTCACGGTCCAGACGGGGTTGCGGGCGGTCGGCGTCGTCAAAGACCATGATGCTAGGCTCGGGGGCACTGGGGCAGCCCAGCTTCTGGGCCTCGCTGACGTAGCTGCGGAGAGCAGCCTTGACATCCTCGACCTTGGGTGCCGGGCGGTTCTTGAAGCGCAAGCTGACGCAGGCGGTGTGGCCGTCGAGGACAGGAACTCGGTTGCAGGCGGCCGACACGCGCAGACCCTCCTGCTCGACGAAAGCCGTCTTGTCGTCGCGGATGCCGCCCAGAATCTTGCGGGCCTCCGTCTCCAGCTTGTCCTCTTCGCCCGAGATGAAGGGCACCACGTTATCAATAATGTCCATGGAGCTCACGCCTGGGTAGCCAGCGCCCGAGACGGCCTGCATGGTGACGACAGAGACGGTGTCGACCTCGCCGAACTGGGCCTGCAGGGCGGCAAAGGGAATAACAAGACCAATGACGGCGCAGTTGGAGTTGCACACCAGGAAACCCTTCTCAAGGCTGTGGTGCTTCCTCTGGTGAGGGATGAGGTCGAGATGCGGGAGGTTGACGGTGGGAACGACGAGTGGCACGAGGGGATCGCGGCGGTAGTTCTTTGCGTTGGAGAAGACAGCCAGGTTGGCCTTCATGAACTCCATCTCTGCATGACTCAATGATTAGCATGACGCCTCTTGTTGGTTTCCTCGGTACATGATCTGCTGCTTTATGTAGGTGCAAATAGCGAAACTCACCAACTTCACCTGCCACATCCGAGTCTAGACCGCTAAAGACAATGTCGCACTCCAAGAACTCGCTGGCCTTGCACTCCTTCACGACCAGGTCGGCGACCTTGCCCATGGGGGAGGCCTGCTTCCACCTCACGGCATCCTTGTACTTCTTTCCGGCAGATCGCGACGAGGCACCGACGGCGTGGAGGACAAAGTGCGGGTGGTTCTGGAGCAGGAGGATGAAGCGCTGGCCAACGGAGCCGGTAGCACCCAGCACACCAACCTTCTTGGTCGGGAATTGCGATGCCATTTTGAAGATACTCGGAGGGTGATTGAGGGTCCAATAGAATAGAATTGAGCAAAAAAGGAAATCTACGAATCGCAGAACTTAGAATAGAAAGATGCGTCACTTGAGTCGTCTTTGGATCTCGCAACTGGGTGCCAAAGAGAGAATTGCCCCGCCAAAAATATTGACTGGATTGACATTTGCCCCGCTATCGGAGAAGGGACCCTGTGACGGCATGGGAGCTAGAGCGTGCCTTCTAGGCCAATTGGGTCACACATTTTACTTGATCCTTCTTGGTATTGCACCGAAGGTGCAATACAGTTCTCTTCGTCGATGGGCTTATGAAATGATTTTGGTGATATAGCGCTTTAGTAATGTTTGCACGATTGAAATATGTTGTCAATCAATGATTGCGAGAAGCGTGCTGTAAAATTGCAGCATTGAAAGGCATCCAGTATGGTGGTCATTCCCATCCGTAATAAGGCCACAACGGGTCTGATAATTCGGATACAATGTTTGAATTGGCCAATCATAGTGTTTGGGACATTTTCCGCCTCGATGTTGAAATAGAACACTGGTGGTGATGACAAAACAACTGGTTGCAAATATTATTGTTGTTGTCTGTGATCTGGCGATTGACCAAAGCACTTCCATTCGGGGGCATTGTGTAAATTGCGTTGTGGGCGCATTGTGGTACACAATGCACCTAGAGCTTCAAATTCCAGTCCGATATTCCGAGAAAATTGCAGCATTCCAAGCGTCGTATAGGTATGGCCGTGTTTCGCAATGGTCAATTTGAAGTTTTGTTCAAACATCATTGTCGCTATAATTTGAAATTATGTGCTGGGCAGGTACGTATACACAGTACGTGTATCCAGCCGTGTGGTCGATATGGTCCGTGCCGGCTCCGCTAGCCGGAAACGTGTCTAGTGGGTCCCAAGCCATGCAACATCGCAACCCCGCACCACCCCTCTGGGCCCGCGACTCATTTCTGCTGGGCGGATGAATGCTCATGATCACCATGATCCAAATATACACCTGCTCAATATCACCAATTGCGCAATTGTAGAATGTACTGAGTAGAATGATACATGTCCACTTGTGTTGAGATGACTTGCGCCTTCCGTTTGGGTGAAGTGCAAAGCAAGAAAGTGCTAAAAGGTTATTGCCATATACTTCAACACCAGAATATAGTCGCTGTGATAATTGGCATTTCTCAACGAAAAGTGACCAGATCAATTCCAAACTTTGGGAAGATGTTTGGAAGGCTTAGAGAAAGGATATGACGTGCAAAAATGCAAAAAAAGAAAAGTTGTTAGGGCGTCACCGGGGATTGAACCCGGCTATTTCGTATGTTAGTATTCTGTTCAATTCCCGTGATGTATGAGGCTATAACTTACGACCTCCTGCATTTTTCAGTTTCCCAAAGCAGGAATCATACCGCTAGACCATGACGCCGCTAGTGCTCGTTTAAACGAGTTCTTTGGTTGAAAAATGATGCTGAAATCATGATATCTATAGGGGGGCGAAGGAATGCATTTACGTGGCTTAATCACAAGCGAGCGGCCAGATGAGCCATTTCCGGCACGACTGTGGGGACTTCTCCACAGACGGCACACATGTCACACTGTATGGATGTTGACTTGGGTCTTGTGCGGCCTTTCAAGGTGTTGCCTCTCTGATCCGTCATGGACAGGTTTTTGATACTATAAGGCACTCGGCTGCCACTGGCGAGACCGTGTGATCGAGAACATAGGAATAAGATGGCTTCTGACGCCCCAGAACACCAAGTCTGATCGGTGTTCACAAGGTACACAGTGGACTGTTGAAGTGGCTCAGGATCACAATGCCAGCATGGAATGAAGGTTTATTGTAAAGCCCCCGGCCCCATCGAAAGCAGAACAAGACTGAGTACAAGTCTTCAAGGTGCTGCCATCTTTTCCAGCGGACATTCAAATGTGAGTCTTCGATTCATAAATATACGCAGTGTTGAGCAAGACCCCAACTTGAATGTATTACTATAAACCACTATGCAAAGCTCAGGAGTGCTGTTGGCCCATTTCGACTATGCTTGAACGCACATTGTGTCACGGTATTGAAACTTTTGGGTGTATTGCTGGATAGTGGAAAAAGAAAAAGACGAAGATGTTTGCTATGGGAAAGCAAACATTAACCCCTGCTATGATTGTGCTTTGCGAGAGCCCATCACCATGACACACATTCAAGCTGTGCAGTGCATATGGGTCACCATGCAACTTCCTCCGAAGCAAAACTTTGATATACCATGACGAAGTATAATGTGCGGAGGATGAGGGTTCAATTCCCCGATAGACCCTCAAGACTTATTTTTACCTTTTTTTTTTTCTTTTTCTTTTTTTTTTTCACAATAATAAGAGCAAAAGCAAATACATTACAAAAGAAAAAAAACCAGATTTTACAAGAACAACTATTCATCTTCTATTGATTTATGTATATATACGAAAATTGAAGGAATGCAGACTTCTCGCTCGTACATGTATGTATTCTGTTTACGACTATGCACCAAATTTACATACTCAAAGTAAAACCCACTCACACAGTAAAACCACATGAATCGCTTTCTGTAAGATAGACTTGATTGAAAATGGTCGCAAAACTTCCGTCATGGTCCTCCATTGTCATTTGCAATCCTCAGATTTGCATTGTGTTACGATAAACTTCTACTTGGTGACTTTTATTGCGGCGGCGAGACTTTTCGATGCGGAACTGTCATTGCCAAAAGTCATCCCTTGTCATCACAGTCCATCGTCATCGCAGTTCCTCGTTGGTGCAGTCGATTTTCATTGCAAAACATCTCTCAGCCCTGGTTTCTTGTCCTGCGAGCGCGCTTGGCCTTGGGCTTTCCATCATTGTCTTGGGCCTGCTTGGCAGGCTTTGGTTCACTGGTCTGGGTCGATTGGGGTGCCCAGACGAATTTGCGCGCACACACAGAGACTTTCCCCCAGACAAAATGATCACAGTCTTTTCATTCTCTTTGATTGAATCAAAGGTCGCTTCAAGCGATAATTCCTCATCTCGCACCGCTTTATTTCTGTCAAGTGCTCCATGAACTGCTTTCAACTCATCCATCCGTATTCATCCACATTCAACCCGGCACACTTTCGCAATCCAGGTTTTCAGAGACAACTGTATCGTCATCATGTGGCTACCCTTCAATTATGACTTCCGGCCTCTCGAGCCGCATGAGTGGCCCTCAAGACCACCCCCTACTCCATCATCCCATCGCGGCCACCTTCACCGCCGATGCCGCCGCCACTGCCAACAGCAAGGGAGATACGAATGATGCATAGGTGTTGTTGGCGAAATCTACTGCGGCTGGAGATACATCATCAACGGTGACGAGAGCAACGACAGCAGCGAGAGCGGCAGTGGCGAAATGAGTGGTGGCATCAGTGGAGCCAGGAGTAAGACGAGCAAGAGGAGCAGCAGCAACAAGAACTGTAGCAGTCACATTGACAACTGCATCACCAGAGAGTGAGTAATTCTTTTTTTCTGGACTTGACTCGGAGCTCTCCAATAGGCATTCATACAAGAATGACATCAGATCAACCAAAGACAGACAAGCGAACATGATTCTCCGTCCTTAGGCTGTTATCCCGTGTATTTGGCTATACCACATCAGGATAATTAGCTCATCCAAAGCCTCGAAAAATGTCCTCCAGAAAGAAAAGATAAAGTAAAGAATGGAGAGACTCAAGTAGGTACTCATCACCAGTCTAGATCTTGAAGCACCCATCAGCGCTGACTTGATGTTCGTCGAGGAGGTGGGAAGGACCGGCCGTTGATACTTCAGCCCGTATACGGACTGATACCTGTGTCTTCTCGTGTAGTATTAACACCATAACATACCCGTTCATAGTTCTCCCATAACATCAACATTGAGACTCTCTGTACGATCGTTCACTTTTCCTTCTCTAGTGCGCTCAGTTCCCATGATTGTGATACTGCAGTCGTATGGCGGGAACATCTATCAGACTGACGTCCAAAGGATACCGGTCATGTACAAGTTCAGTCAACTTCTGGGGAACTTCTGGGGAAGAAACGACGTGCTAACTGAAATGAACCACCTGAAAGACCTTACAAGAATTATGATAAGCGCCATCCAACAAAGATAATCACCATGTACTGTGCCCGGATCGAGCTGACTTGGGCTACTACGCAGGGCTTCAGCGACATCTTTCGTCGTTATAGATGCACTGAAATTATAACAGCCAGATACGTTGACGTCTATACCTACGGCAACCCTTTTATGTTTACTTTGAACATAACCAAACTCAGACACCCTTATTGCCAAACCCTTCGCTGAGAATCCGCATAAAACCATGGCTGCTGCACGTTCTGCCAATAGCCAGGACATCCAGACGTGGTCGGACAACTTCGCAGGAAGAGCATTGCTCTTCTGCAAAGCACTACACAATAAAGGAGTAGGACAATAACTGACTTGGTGTTCTGGAGACAGCACCCGCAAGACGTGTGTTCCGCCTCCAACCAAGTCATTCCACAATCGAGTCAACTTGAAAAATGTTATTCTGTGACAAATGATTCCTAGAACTGTGATATGAAGCAAATGATCATCCGCATCGGAATCAACCGTGTGTCTTTAGTTGGCATAACCCACGGCCACCCTTCAAATACCAATCAATGCGTCACCCGGCAGTATTCTGTAACTAGTCTACCAACTGCAAATATGGAAACAGCCGGTACCGAGATATGATCCTGAAGATCTACATGCGAGCAAATGTAGTTTACGTCTGGTTCGGCCCGAGCAGCGAGAGATACTGAGATAGGGCGCAGCATTCAAACGGCGCCGTTACCCAATTATGCTTGTGCAGACCTTCAATATACATTTCTTCCATTGGAGGGAATGGATGACGCATGTGAAAATTCTAGGCTGCCAGTAACCAGATGCGGCTGCCTTGACTACTTCGAGCATCTAATTGGCTTGCCGGTGTTTCAAAAACTGATGAGGCAGGCGCGACGGTAGTTGCTTCAGATCAGAATTGGTGAACGGGAAAGTGCTCAAACGATAGGGCTCAAGAAATTTTGCGCGCGTGGCACCACACATTGTTCCTCTCTCTTTCGTGGCAGAGCACCTCGACCTCAATCAACAACTTGCCACAAAGTTCTGCTCGAAAAATCCTTGGCTGATTTCATCGCCACCATTCATTCTCACCCACTCATTCACATACACAATTCTGCCGGCTCTTGATGACAGCGATTAGCACAACTGCTTACCTCTTCGTCCGCGGGCCCTACTACTCGGGGCGGTATTCATCGTGTCAGAGCCCTCTGGAGTGCTTCCACCTCCAACCTCTGACCTCGCCGAGGAGTGGCCACAGCCCGCCACACCAGAAGAAGAAGAAGACCGAAGAAAAGAAGAGAAAGAAAGAGAAGAGAGAGACCAAGGGCCGCGGACCCTTCGACCTGGCCGTAAGTATATATTCTTTCGTAATGTCTTGAACAGCTACTAAGTCATCATAATAGACGTACCAATGTCGCTTTGGGACGCACACGCCGCGATCTTGGGCGCCGTGGAGGTTGCCTGGGCGGCGCTGCCGCACCAAAAGGTGCGTGGCCAGGCGAAGACCTGGACCAACGGCCTCGACAAGCTCGAGGAAATGTTGACGGTACTTATAGCCTATTTAAACAGTACTACATGGGACAGCACTAATTGAGTCTTGATTTAGGAAGCAGAGGATGACTTGCCGTTGGGCACAAGGCCCGTCTACAGACCTTCTCCGGCGCCGACCTCCGCCTTCCTCCCTGTAAAAGCGCTGAGATAAGGTTGAATTAAGGATATCTAGTGCTGTTTTAAAGATGGTTAAACGATTTAGCTATAAATTAAGAAAATAAATTCTTTTTTTTTTCTAATATTTTTCTTAAATAGTTTTTTATTAAGATAATTGTTTTCTATATTTTATATATATTCTAAATAATTTCTATTTTTTTTTAATTATATATTAAAATAATTTTAATATCCTGCTAATAGCGGCAATAAGGAGGTTCTTGGGCTTCCTCTTCTCTTTCTCTCGCTTCTTCTTATCTGTCTTCTTCTTCTTCTTCGGGTGTGGCTGGCTCCGGCCACTCCTCGGCGAGGTCAGAGGTGAAGAGAAAAACGACAAGACAGCGGGCAATATCCATATATTAATACTTATACCAATCATTGTGTGCCTGCAGTATGGCCGAAATCAATCTCGAATAAGCTTTTCATACAGCGGTCAAAACTGCCACTCATCCGACCAACAATGAGTACCAGCAAAGCAACTGTTCCACGCCGAACTCATTGCACTCAATGCTATCTATCGGTGGATGATCACCAGAGTTTGGCTTCACGGCTGGCTGACATAGTTGAGCAGTAATCTTGTGTCGAGTTTTGTCGCAATAGTCGAGAATAGATGTCAACGGCACTTTTCTACACA